TGCTTCTGAAAAAAACTTGGGAGAATGTCTGCTGAAGGACAGTCAAAGGTAGGGGGTGGGAAATGTGCACCTGCAAAATCCTTCTAGAGAGAGAGAGCAGGGTCTCCAGTTACTGACTTAATGACCACAGAAGGACTCCTGGGAGGTTGGGGTGCAATCACAAAATGGGAGCAGGCATCTTAGATGATCGTATGAAAGAGTTGTTGAGTGCTCCATCAACGAAACTTAACATATAGCTGTAATCTTCGGGACTGAATTCAGACCAAGTGCAGGCTGGGTAGGCTATGCCCCAAGTTCTCAGCTGAATGTACTAATGTGATGCTGTCCATGTAGTTCTGGTTCTGACGATATGAAAGATAAAAAAAAAAAAAACACACCTTATCTTCTCAAATTAAACTAAGGACAAAGATGGTTAAATAGCGTATACCTCTTATGATCCTCACCATGTAAGAGATAGTTCTCATTTCTCCATGGATGTAGCTCATTTAGTTTATAAAGAAACTTAGGATGTATGCTTTTCTTCTAATGCATTGCCCTACAAACCCCGTAAGCAGTGTTTACCATGGAGAAATAGGAAGGAGTCTCAAAAATGTCTGCCTATCACTGTGCTAAATGACACTATGAAGGAAAACTTAACAGAGCCTTGAGTAATCTCTCTCTAAATGTCTGTGTGTCACTTCAGCTAGAACTGAAATAAAGCATAGTGTATCTCTATACTTTTACCCATATCTACAGAAATATGCTTCTAACTTTATACTTTATGAATTGGGGTCTCCAGGAGAGAGCCGTTGTTTCCAAGGTGGCAGAAAGGGCCTTGTTTTGCTTTGTTAATTCAGAAAGATGCACTTGAAGGTGTGTGTGTGTGTGTGTGTGTGTGTGTGTGTGTGTGTGTGTGTGTGTGTATGTGTGTTTACTCACAGTTCCTGGCTCACATCTGCCCAAAGCAGTTTATGGAAACTAGAATTCTCTTCCCCAAGATAAGCAGGTCATGGAAACTCTACTTTTCTCCTGCTTTTCATCTTGGAGCTGGCCATAGAGAAATTCTCTGGTAAGACCGTCTCATTCCAGAGAAGTCGTGCCCCATTAACCCGTTGACATGTATGACATGGGGAGACAAGAGGAGTCTAGATAGAAAGGCTTTCTGGGTTTTCCCACAGTCTGTTAGCAATCCTGCCTATGCAAAGTGGCCGTTAGTAAGAAGTAAGCCTAAGAGAGCCATGTCCCTTCCCCCTCCTTCTCTCTATGTATGTCCCTTCATCTGCATCCTTTGTAATATCCTTCACAAAAACCCAGTAAAGGAGAGAGAGAGAGATGGGGCCAGGGGAAAAAGGAATAGGGGTACAAGAGAAGAGAACACAAGAGAAAGGGAAAAATGACAGGGAGAGAGGAGGGGTAATGACATTCCCTGTGGCCAGCAGGGGTCACCCAATAGCCAGAAAATAAATAACATGCTTAAAGGACTCATTATAGAAATAAAAATGCTCATAAGTGAGTATATACCATGTGTGTCTTTCTGCTTCTGGGTGATCTCAGTTAGGATGATCTTTTCTAGTTCCATCCATTTGCCTGCAAATTTCATGATTTCTTTGTTTTTAATTGTTGAGTAGTATTCTGTTGTGTAAATGCACCACAATTTCTGTATTTTTTTTTCCTTGAGGGACATCTGGGTTGTTTCCCGATTCTGGCTATTACGAATAAAGCTGCTACAAACATGGTTGAACAAATGTCCTTGTATGGTGGAACATCTTTCGGGTATATACCCAGGAGTGGTATAGCTGGATCTTGAGGTAGATCTATCACCAATTTCCTGAGAAAGCGCCAGATTGATTTCCAACGTGGTTGTACAAGTTTGCAGTCCCACCAGCAATGGAGGAATGAATTCTCCACATCCTCTCTATCATGTGTTGTCACTTGAGTATTTGATCTTAGCCATTTTGATGGGTGTAAGGTAGAATCTCAGAGTCCTTTTGTTTTGTATTTCCCTGACAAGGACATTTGCTCAACTATGTTCATAGCAGCTTTATTCATAACAACCAGAATCTGGAAACAACCTAGATGTCCCTCAGTGGAAAAAATGGATACAGAAATTGTGGTGCATTTATACTACTCGGCTATTAAAAGCAAGGAAATCATAAAATTTGGAGGCAAACGGATGGAACTAGAAAAGATAATCCTGGGTGAAATAAACAAGAACCAGAAAGACACACATCATATAAGCTTACTTATAAGCAGATATTGTCTATAAAATTTAGTATAACTATACTAAAATCTACAGACCTAAATAAGCTAACCAACAAGGAGAACTCTAGGGCGGACGCTTAAATCTCATTCAGAATGGCAAACAGGATAGACACCAGTATCAGTGGAAGAGAGGGAACAGGACCGGAGCCTAACATAGATGTCTCCACCCAACAGGGAATAGAAGCAGAGATTCACAGGCAAACTTTGGGAAGAGGGCAGGAAGTTCTATGGAAGAAGGAGAAGATAGAAGACCCAGAGGGGACAGGACCTCTACAAGGAGACCAACAAAGCTAAAATATCTGGGCCCAGAAAGGCCTGCAGAGACTGATGCAGCAACTAAAGTCCATGCATGAAGAGGACCTAGACCCCCTGCTCAATGTAGCCCATAGGCATCTTGGTCTCTATGTGGCTTCCTGAGTAAGGGGAGCACCGGTTGTCTCTGACATGAACTCAGTTGCCTGCTCTTTGATCACTTTCCCCTGATGGTGCAGCCTTGCCAGGTCACACATGAAGAGGATCCAGGCAGTCCTGATGAGACTTGATAGGCTAGGGTCAGAGGGCAAGGGAGGACTCCACCTATCTGTGGACTAGGGAGCTGGGAAGAGATGAGGGAGCGGGCTACAACTGGGATACAAAGTGAATAAATTATAAAAAATTAAAATTAAAAAAAATTGTAAAAGAAGAAAGACGCTCCCCTGGGAGACCCTGTGGAGACACTCAAGTTTTGAACTCAGGCCCAACTCTGGAATCTTGCCCTGTCTAGAGAAATAAGGGAAACAATGGAGTCCATTTTGACTGGACCAGAAGATGGTAGAAGAACGTAGGTGGATGCCGCTCTTCCACCTCCACACGGAGCCTCTGGTTCTCCATTGCTATGTTCATTCAACCAATGTTAGTCTTTATCATAAACATCTTTATATTTGTCCTTTCTCTGGAAAACCCCACCTTACAGATTGTGGATGTTTTAGTACATCCATGACAAAGTCCTGTCCTACAAAAGCCACTGTTTACACACACACACACACACACACATACACACACACACACACACACGGCCCATCCCTGGAATTACACTCGTGGACCACTATGCCCAACTTTTTGCCTGCACACTGAGAGTCAAACTCAGGTCCTCATGCTTGTGTGGCCAGCGCTTTCATACCGGAGCCATCTCTAGAAGCTGCGTTTGGTCCCTACACAAAGCCTGCTTTGTAGTGAAGCCCGGGAGTTGGCTCTTGACTCTCTTTATTGAGGCTGCCGGGAAGACGGCGGACATTCGGACTGGGCGTGCTTACCAAAAGCAGCCTACAATCTTTCAAAACAAGAAGCGTGTTTCGCTGGGAGAAACCAGCAAGGAAAAACTCCCTGGGGACTACAAAAAAACATTGGTCTAGGCTTCAAGACGCCCCAGGAGGCCATCCAGGGCACCTACATAGACAAGAAATGCCCCTTCACTCGGATGTCTCCATCCGAGGCCAGATCCTGTCTGGTGTGGTGACCAAGGAAGATGCAGGGGAGCATTGTCGTCTGCCGGGACTACCTCCGTTACATCCAGAAGTACGCTTTGAGAAGCGCCCCAAGAGCATGTCTGTGCACCTGTCCCCCTGCTTCAGGGATGTACAGATAGGCGACATTGTCACCGTGGGAGAGCGCAGGCCTTTGAGCAAGACCGTGCGATTCGACGTGCCAAGGAGATTCTGGCCTGCTCCTTAGAACAAATGACGCTATTTTCCATCTTTAAAAAAAAAAAAAAAGAAGCCTGCTTGTGACAATCCACTTTGGCACACACTCTCAGGCAGCAGAGGTAGCAGAGGTAGATTAGAAACATGGGCCCCAAAGAGCATGGACATCAGCAGAAGGAGAAAACAGGGAACAAGTTAGGAACCTGCCACAGAGGGCCTCTGAAAGGCTCTGCCATGTCGACTATCAAAGCAGATGCTGCGACTTATGGCCAACCTTTGAGGAGATTGTAGGGACTTTTATGAAAGAAGTGGGAATTAGTAAGACCTGGAGGGGACAGGCACTCCACAAGGAGAGCAACAGATCCAAAAAAATCTGGGCACATGGGTCTTCCCTCAGACTGATAGTCCAATCAGATAGCATGCATGGAGATAACCCAGAACCCCTGCACAGATGTAGCCCATGGCAGTTCAGTCTCCTAGTGGGTTCCATAGTAATGGGAACAGAGACTGTCTCTGACATGAACTGACTGGCCTGCTCTTTGATACCAGGCCACAGAGGAAGACAATGCAGCCACTCCTGATGAGACCAACCAGACTAGGATCAGAAGGAAGAAAAAGAAGACCTCCCCTACCAGTGGACTTGGGGAGGGGCTTGCGTGGAGGAGGGGTTGGTAGGGGAGGAGGGAGGGAACTACAGGGAGGATACAAAGTAAATAAAGTGTAATTAATAAAAAATAAAATAATAATAATAATAAAATTTTAAAAAAGAAACATAGGCCCCTTACAGGTGTACAATTTGTTCTCAAGATGACCTCCGGATACTCTTAAAATGTTTCCCTGATTAAAGCAGTATGGCCTCCACACACAGCCGGAAATCTGTAACAGCCATGTCAGCGCTGCCTCCTCCTGGCAGTTTGCAAGAATAGCGGCCCATACTCTTCTGTTGAAGGGCTTCCCCCACTCCTCGGTTCCAGACCACACTCAGACATTGCAGAACAGTCGGAGTGTGGTTAACCTGTTGCCTCACACTGCTGAGGCAGCAGTTGCTCAAGATTCAGGCCTATAAGGTACCAGACGAGAGCAGTGATTGGCAAAGGAGGCTGTGAGCTTCGGAGCACTTGCCGGAGGGGCAGGGAAAGGCTGGAGACATCGTCTTGGAAGATAAGACCATGCTTTTCCTGGAGGCACTTCCATTTCTGTTCTTACTCCACATGCTGCTTGCCAAGGCCTCTCCGGTACCTCATGAACACCTGGAAGAGAAAAACTTAAAAATTGCGGAGGTAAATGAACTGTCAGTTATGGGTGATTGGCTGATGACTCCAGGGTTCAGAGCATGGCTGTCCCTTCTTAGCGTAAATGCCAGAAAGAGATTCTCTGGTTGGATTTGCCAAGGCTTAGCATCTCTTCTGGGACTTGTTTGACCCCAGTAGGTCAAGGCCTGGCCCTGGGAAATCTAGACAAGCTGGGTGCTGTACAGCCTGGGGAGTGTTGCTATAGGACTTGCTGATGCTGGGCCTTTCAGAGAGAATATTTCCATTTATAAAATGAGCTGAATTTCTTACTTCACATTTTCCTCTTCCGGTAAACATGTAATCCAGTTTTTCTCTATGCTCTATATGTCAGTGCTAGACTGGTAAAATGCTAATATCCCAAAGCTGAAAAATGATGGAGAGTTGGGGGAGGTCCAGTTATGACCTGCCTACCGCTTCCTGTCTGAATATTTCCTTGCAGCCAAAAATACTGTCATGTGTAAAAGATAGAATGGAGGTGGGGATTATAATTAATTAAAATTAGCATCTTGTATATAATCAGATTTCCTAGCCCTGCTTATTAAACTTTGGAAGCATTATAAAGGCAAAGCTAAAAGCACAACCCTAGTTTCATAGTATAAAAGTGAGGCCAGGATTTTGTTTTTATTTTTGATGCAAGGGAATGTGATCACCAATTTGTTGTGCATAATTTTCTTAGCATTGAAATTTCTGGAAAGCTTTTTTTTTTCTTTCCACTCAGTAATTTTTGTGACTGGCACAAAAGCCAGTTTATACTGAGTGTGGACTGAGTTTACTCTCCAGACCCCTTTCTTCTAAGCATAACAATAACCCTGTAATGGAAAGCTTAATTTTTTTCATGTCAGAGACAAAAGACAGCACTGGGATTTGCCTGAACCTGTCAGATCCCAAAGTGCAAACTCTGCCTTCTGTCACCTACAAAGTATATACATACATGGTGTGTACGCACGGATGCATACAGCAAGGTAAAGAAAGCTGACCGTCGCTTGGCATGTAACACTCCTGAATGAGAGACGCCCTTCCAGGACATTACCCTGTGGAATGGAATGCTGCTATTATCCCAAACATCTTTTGTAATGAACACTGCGGTAAACCAGGGCCTGAATTGTCACTTGCTTCTTCGTTCTTGGTACCTTCATTTCTCCGTGGAGGTGATTAAACCCTCTCTCCATTAAGTGAAAGAGGGTTTTTAAAAAGAAAGAAAGAAAGAAAGAAAAGTCCTCATTGTTACAGCTAACACCCCAACAGACGTAAAAAGAAAAATAACAAAAATTCGGTATCAATTTTAAACCATGAATAAATACTGCAGGCTGCCTAATGCACAGCAGCAGTTTCTGTGCGATTCATCTTCACTCATCCTCCCGCTGGAAGACTTTCACTTTTATGCAAAAAAATTAGTTAGATCACTGACTGCAGAGAATGTTCTACAGGCATTGTTCTTTCAAAGTAAATCTAGAAATGTCTTTATTTTAATTAGATGCATTTATTTTTATGTGTTCAGGGGTATTGCATGCCACAATGCCTGTGTAGTAGTCAGAGCACAACTTGTAATAGTCAGCTCTCTCCTTTTATCGTGTAGGTGGTTAGGATCAGTCTTGGCTAGTCAGGCTTGACCCACTGAGCCAACACGCTGCCCCAACCTACAATTTCTGTCAGGTCCTGGTTTATGCTCTGTGATGGCTTAAAAAGAGTTGCAAAATATCCAGAGCACTAAAGGCAATTTCACAGCAAGAACTCAGATGTGTTTATTTTGGTCAGAATTACCTGCAAAAATTCTACCATTTGCCAAGCAATCAATATCGGTCTGCAAAAAGGAATGAGACAATGATTACTGAGAAGCTTAAGGAAATGCAGCGCTTCTTCGGCTTGGCTGAGACAGGGAAGCCAGACGCAGCTACTATGGAGATGATGGGAAAACCTCGCTGTGGAGTGCCCGACTCTGGTGACTTCATGCTAACCCCTGGAAGCCCCAAGTGGACACACACCAACCTGACCTACAGGTGACATCCCTAGAGTCTGAGGGTTCATCTGCCCAGCTAGAGACTGAGAGCCCCTGAAACCTCAGACATTGTTGCAGAACGGGCAAAACTAGAGATGAATGGACGAACACCCCTGCCCTTGCAGAGTATGAAAGAATGTGAATAGTGAATGAGTAGAGTATGAACTGGAAGTAAGCTCGAGGTTGAGAGAGCAGAGCATCCTGGGTTCTTCCAACTCGAAAACTTATAACATTGTCTTCAGCAGTCTCAAAAGACTATGGCAGCATCTGTCCCTTTGAGTCCAAAAGAGGCTTAACCATTGCTGGAGAGAATCTAGCTCTCTTCTGTATGTCCTGGTAACCACAATAATAATAGCCAGTATTTGTAGAATACAATTTTCAAGCCACTAAGGACTTCCTGTGTATTTAATTCCTTCGGTGACCTATGAGAGGGATCTTATGTATCATCTTCGTCTTATGAATGGGGACACTGAGGCTTAACGACAGGTAGTTATTGTCCACGCTCTGGTCTGTCTTCAGCCCTGAGACACGCACCCTCTTGATGTTCTGTCCAAGTGGTAGCACACTGCATAGCGACTTACTCCAAAATGGAGTGACTAACCATGTAGTTCCAAGGTGTTGCTCATAATAGCAAACCCTTCTTGCTCCTTTTCCCTTTCAAGGATTGTGAACAATCCCTCATGGTTGTCAATGACCACAGTGAAAAAAGAAATTGGGAGAGCCTTCCAACTCTGGAGTGTGGCATCACCCCTGACCTTCACTGAGTCCTCACAGGAAGAAGCAGACATCAACATTGGTTTTGTCCTGAGAGGTAGGTTCAAAGCAATTTTGTGCTCTCTAGTTAACCTGAGACTATAAGCAAAGGCTTGACCACAAGCCATCTCATTTCAGACCATGGTGACAATTCTCCATTTGATGGACCCAATGGGATCCTTGCCCATGCCTTTCAGCCAGGCCCAGGTATTGGAGGAGATACTCATTTTGATTCAGAAGAAACATGGACTCAAGATTCCAAAAGTAAGTTGGGGTCATTGTTAGGTTCGCATGAGCCTTTTAAATTCACCTTTCCCACCTTAGGATCAAGACATGTATTCACAAATACACAGCCACTCACATTACTATAGAATTTCACACACACAAATCAATCAATCACATTTTTGGTACTTAAGGATAAACCAGCTTAAGTTTTTTTTTTTAATCGAAAGCTAATTATTGATGTTATTTCCCACTGCAGTGCCTTCATCTAAGTGTGCCACTGTCATGGCACTAAGTAACTGATGAACAAAAGAAACCTACTTCCCAGTTGTGTAAGGGGCTGGAAAGACCAGGGTGAAAGTTCTTAATGCAACCTCACATGGTGGAAGGATGAGGGAGACCAAGAGAAATGAGCCTGAAACCCTTGCCCTTTTCACAGCAGCATCAGTCCAGACCATTTCTGTCAGGATCACATCCCAGCAGTTTTTCACTCATGATTAACTTTCTGACACATGATTTCTGGGAGGAGTATTTAAATGTTCGGCTTGCAGGGAGTTGAACAAGGCAAACCACAGCCAAACCCTGCCTGGACCCTGTCTGCACAAACAAGGCTAGGCTGAGGGAAGCCACAGTCACGAAGTTACACATATTCCTCGCCAGCTTGCACTCTGCCATGGCTAAGCTGAGTGGTTGAGACAGAGGGAGGCTACTTAGCTCCCAAAGCATAACATTTTCTGGTTCCCCTGCTTTAGTTTCTCTGTCTCTCTCTCTCTTTTGTCTCTATCTTTCTGTGTTTAATGTTTGGAAAGGCTTTTTCTTCACGTCTCTGGAAATGCTGAAGTACTAGGGTTCATTTGAAAAGAGCAGCCACATTCTCCCTTCTAATACCTCCACTTCCACCGGCCTCCATCTCAGCAGTGTGTCTGTGCAACAGAACACTCTTTCTGGGAGCCCCCTGATGAGCTGTTCTGGGCTTCCTGAAGAGAGGGGATGAGGTGAAGGCCCTGTGTGTAGACCCTGACTGTCTACACACAGTCAGCCTTGCATCTAACCTACTGCACTGAGAGTGGGCTCTTTCCTGTGTCTTCTTTGGAGACTCCGTTAAAGAGCCTGAGGCCCAAAGCATGTGTGAGTACAAAGAAACAGGATTCTTCCCATCCTGAGATCCATAGCTTTTCCACCATTTCACCGACCTTCCACATCTATAAAATGTGGGAGTTGGGATAAAGAGATTTATCAGCTCTGAGATTTGATAACAGCTTTGTGATTCCTACCTTGATGTCTCCTCATTGCTGCTCTTTACGTACCTGACTAGAAAAGGAAAGAGATGAGTATATAACAGTCTCCTTCCTGGGCAGTTTTGGCCTCAAAGTAACATCCTTTGAGATCATATTTTCACCACCTGTGGAGCCATTAAAGTGTCCACCCTATATTCTTGCATTTCAGATTACAACCTGTTTCTTGTGGCTGCTCATGAATTTGGACATTCCCTGGGACTCTCTCACTCCACTGATCCTGGTGCCTTAATGTACCCAAACTATGCTTACAGGGACCCCAGCACCTACTCACTGCCTCAAGATGATATCAATGGCATCCAGACACTCTACGGTAAGGTTGTGTAGGCAACATGGTAGAACACAGTGTGACCAGAGCTGGTCTCCACAAGTCCGGCGCGCAAGTTCTCTCCTTCGGAGTCTCTGCATTCTGTCTGTCCACCAAGGAAGCTCAAATTAATCTCTGAAAGTCACCAGGAATAAGTATAGCATTGGCAATAGAGGCCTGTGGGGCTGAGCCTCTGGTGTGATTTCAGTACATCTTGGTTTTTACTTATTAGATGTCTATTTCTACCTTAAAGAAAAAGCTAAAGGGCAGGCCTGTTGACAAATATCTGTAATATTAACATCAGGAGGCTGAACATGAAGGCAGCTTCAACTACACAGTGAGACTTGGTCTCAAGAAAAATAAAAAGGAAAAGAAAGAAGGAGATATGGGGAGAAGGAAGGAAGGAAAGAAAGAAAGAAAGAAAGAAAGAAAGAAAGAAAGAAAGAAAGAAAGAAAGAAAGAAAGAAAGAA